TCAAAATATTTATAAGAATTATATTTATCATATAAAAAAATTACATAGAGAATGATCTGTAAATGAAGAAAAAATATGTTTTTGATAAATTTAGGTGAGATAGAAATCATATAAATCAAAACCATGAAAAATAAGAGTAAGAGTATAATTTCTTACATCCAAGAAAAATAATGACAGACGAAAAAGCCCTGGAAACTTTTTCTCCTCTCTCTCTCTCTCTCTCTCTCTCTCTCTCTCTCTCTCCTTTCCTCTTCTCTTTCTTTCTTTCCTTCGAGGCCAAGCAAAATGAATATGTGGGAGGGATGGTGGGGTGGTAGGAATATTTAAATTAAATATTATTGCGGGCTAGAATATACGCGGCGGTAGAGTTAGAAATTTTTGTCTGAGCGTTGTACGAATATCTAACACACAAATAAAAGATAAAAGAACACCAAGATTTTTACGTGGAAAACCACGGGGCCACGCCTAGTTGAAATGATTCAACTTGTATTTATTTGAAGTACAAGAGACTGATTCATAGTTTTCAAACGAGCTCGAGCTCGAGCTTTTCAAACGAGCTCGAGCTTGATATTTCCTAAACGAGTCGAGCTCGAGCCCACTTATCGAGCTCGAGCTAGCTCGAGCTCATTAAGGATTAAACGAGCCAGGCTTGATAAGGCAAATACTCGATTCGTTTACACCCCTAGACGCACCCCATTGGGGTCGAATTTTGTGCAGCCCATAAGCCCATTAAACGAACAATATAATATTAGAATGTCTAGATATAAAATATGTCATAATATGAAAATAATTGTCCAATATAGGATATTTGGGACGGATGGTCTAAGGGGCGCGATGTCTAGGATTTTTTGGCTGTGCGAGGTGTCTAGTGTTCGATATTTTATCTTCCATAAACCTTTGATTGCCTATGATTTTCGTATGTATGGCTGCAAATCGGCTAGGGGATCCTGGGTTTTTGATGGCACGGCTAAATCCAAATCATTTCGTGATGCTTTATCTGGTGATTCGCCATTTTTTCCTCCACTCAAAGTTTCTTCTCATCGTGGTTTGCCTGCTTTAATCGTTTCAGATGAGGAATTATTATCTCTTGTCATGCCTTTTGAGTTTACGTTGGTAGGGAAATTTTCGGGCCGTCGCCCGCCTCTAGATTTGATTCAAAAATTTTTCTTCAATCTCAAGCTTTGCGGTGCATTTTTTGTTACTATCTTGAATCCTAAAAATGTGTTTATCAAGCTTGCTAATGACCTAGATTACTGTAGGATTTTCTCTCACTGATCGTATTTCATTGCCAACTGTTTCATGAAGCTGTTTAAGTGGTCTTCCCTCTTTGACGTTCATGTAGAGTCGCCTTTTGTGCCCATTTGGGTCTCTTTTCCCAGTTTGCATCCTCATCTCTTTTCACCTTGCATTCTTCATGGTTTGAGCTCTATGTTTAGTAGGTCTTTGCGTATAGACAATGCCACTTCGAACAACACTAGGCAGTATGTTGCTTGAATTCTTATGGAACTGGATGTCATGAAAAGTTACGCCTCTCAGGTGTGGCTTGGCTCTGAATCTATGATATACATCCAAAATATTGAAATGGAAGTTTTCCCATTGTATTGCTCTTATTGCAAAACGTTGGGTCATTCTAAGAAGATTTTCCCTATTTTGTTCCCTAAGATGGATGTGCGTCCCTTTGTTCCTAAGGTGCCCGACGTGGAGGTGGCTGAGAATCCTCTTAATGGTTTGGTTGAGGTGGCGCTTAATGAGAAGGTAGTTGTTAATGATATAACTGATGATAATGATACTATGGTTGTTGTGTCTCCTTTGCTTAATGTGGTGGGACTTGTTATTGTGAATATTGTAGATGATGTTTTAGTTTCTCCTATTGTGGTCTTTAAGCCGAGCAAGTGCATTTTGTTGAATGCTCCTGGTGAGTATGATGATGGTTTGAATGACTTGGTTGTATCTAAAGCTGAGGAGGTGGAGGCAGATGATTTTGGAGATGGTGTGGGTCAGTTGGATGGGTGTCTTGGTTCACATGAGGTTGTGGTTGCCCCTAGTGTTGTGGTTGTTGTTCCTCCCCTCCTGGGATCTACGATGGTTGCTGGCAATATTTATGTTGATCATTTGGTTAACGATGCTTTGGTCAGACTTCTCTTTATTGGGGGGAGTGTTGATTGTGATGATTTGGTTGATGTTCTTGTGGGGCTTATTTCGTCAAATGTTTTAAGTCAAGGATTTTGTCATGAGCAGGGAGTCCTGTTTGAGGCAAATTGATTGGTTGGATGATTTGATGGACTCTTCGTGTGATCTGGAGGATGAATTGGAGGGTGAAGTTTGGGCCATACAAGACTCGTATGGTTTGGACATCTTTAGGGCTTTGGGTCCCCCCTTTTCTCATAGTGGAAAACAGCATCATTGCAAATCTAGGAGATAGGCCTTCTCCTTATTCTTTTGGCTTCGGTTGCAGGGCTGAATATTTTTTATCCCTTGCTACTATTGGGTCTTGTGTTTTGGAGTCCATTTGCTTGGCTCCCTTAACTGTCACTTTATGATTTTGGTATTAGACTATAATGAGGTAGTTCTTATGCATGCTCCATAGATGGCCATGCTTGGTTGCAACCTTGGTGGTTTTTTCCTTATCAATTTATTTGGTATTTTTATTTTGGTGATCATGTTGTCCTTGGAATCTTTGTGTTTGGCTCTTTTTACTCCTTGGATGGCCCATTCCTGACAACCAGACGACGGTCTGAGTCCATCTGCTTCTAGATTGTCTCTTTTCAATGTTGTGGTCAGGTGGTCCGGCCTGTCATTAATTGGTCTTTATTTTCTCTGTAACTATCTTCTCTGTAGCCTTGCTTCTTTAGGTTGTTGTTGTAATGCTTCCCTATTTCAATGGAATTTTCTTTTGAAAAAAAAAGTCCAATATAGGATGAAATTTTGCATGAATTTTAGAACATTTACATAGCCTTTCGAAAACAGCGATAATTACCATTGTGTTATGTTATATTTAATATCCTCATATTTTGAACAAATATCATTTTATATTGATATATTTGTCTTATCATAATATCATAATATAATTATTGTAGAGAGAGAGTCATGTTGAATTGATATGATTCAATCTTGCTTATTTTGTCCATATAATTTAAATGCCAACTAGATTCATGCCCTCTCTCCCATTCACTCCATACCCATCATTTCAAAGAGTACAAAACTTGGAAGAAATTCTTCTTCCTTCAATGCACTAAAGCTAAACCCTAATACATTACCACACACAACTTATTTCCATTCATTCCTCCCAAAACAAAATCCATTCATTCCTCCATATCTTCCACTACATCAATCCTAATCACCAATCCATGGACTCCTCCTCCTCCTTGCCTATTAAGGCCATTCACTCCTTCCATGCCGGCAAGCACAATCTCTATACTCGCCTCGCCTTGATCTCTACATCGACCCCTCCTACTCCCTCCATCTCATTGCCTTTTTGCTCTGGCTTGAGGAAGATGGCCACCACAAAAACCTCTTCCACAAAATCGCCTCTATGACCAACAACTCTCTTCGCTCTGCCGCCTACACGGCCCTCTCCTTTCTTGATGCTCTCCAAACATGGGAGGATCCACGTAGCCTCCAATTGCCCACCCTCAAACTATAGAAATGAATAAGGGGAGGGGTAGTTCTGACCTTTTTCCTCCTTTTTTTTTTGCCATAATCTAAAGCATTTTCCCAACTCTCGCTTGAGTCCTTGACGCTTCATTCCGCCTCTTCACTCACACGACAATAGACCCACCGACATAGCTAGACGAATGTATTGAGTTTATCCACCCTAAAAAATGGTTGGATCCGCCCCTACCTCCTAACCAATCTCAATTCCAATTCCACTTCTACCACCTTTCACAAAAATGCTATCAATGGAATACACTGCTATCTTTCTAATGTATGTTACAAAGTCCTCACCGACCTTCACGAGAAGGCGGTGAGCCAATTAGAGGCATGACGGGGAGTCGAGATGATAGGTGATAGTTTAAGTTGTGTTTACCCAAGTGAAGTGAATGGATTGCTTTATGTGCCTCATAGTGAAGGCTCTAGTGGAAATGAATATCTTTTTATTCTTTATTATTTTTTTCTTTTTCTTTTTTTAATTTTTACATTTTTCTATGATTTGATCTTAATTCTTCAACCATCATCAAGTGTCATCTTATCTTATAGGGACAATTTTTTCTAAGGAAAAATATTAATAAAATAATTAGTTTTACAGTGATCACCAATCAATGAAAGGGTGTAAATGACTACAACAAATCTCGAGCCACCTCTAGCTTGAACTAGAGCTTGATTAATTAATCGAGTTCGAGTTGGCTTACCAGTCAGCTTATTTACTATGAAAAAGAGAAAATAATTATGTTTTAATCACTCCTACATTGCTGATGATATTCTTCTTGTCAATAACACTAGAAAGGGTTAAAAACTTGAATTATGGAGACCAATATTGAGAGTCCAAAGGTTTTTATTTGAGTAAATAATTTATATAATTTTAGTAATAATAAATCTAGTTGTAAGATTATAACATTAATTGATCAAGTCAATTAAAAGAATGCACATTTTAGAAATTTTATATATACATATGAATAGTTAATTCAAAGCATCAAGTCCCAGAACAATGGCAGCTTATGCGTTCTCAATAGTAATTTGTTCCCTTAAAAGCCAAGATGATTTCATTAAATATTTTCACTAGGCAAATAATATATATATGCCATCATCGCCTACAGTTTACTGTAAAAAACAACCATATGAAGGCATTTATGAATATAAACCATCACGAAAAAAAATATCAATAATTTCCACGCAAATTATTACGTCCGGTGTCCGGATTCATCCAGATACCAATCCAAACACGTCACGTCACCAAAATGCACCGGGACCCAGTCTATTCAGGTGACGTGGTGCGTTTGGATTGGGTGTCCGGTGACCGGACGTAATAATTTGCCATAATTTCCATACTATAGCCAAAGGAAAATAATGAAGTTAGTTTTTGATTCCATCCTTTAAAAAAGAGTCACACCAAATACTATTCCCAAGATGAAAGATAATAAAACTAAAGCATCATAGATAATTGATACCAAGGTCTCATTTCAGACAGCTTCCTTACTGCTTTTTAAAACAACTTTTTAGTATAAAAATTAAATTTTTTGTTCTAAAAAGCTATTTTACGAAACAGCAAGAAAGCCACCCCAAACGAAGCCTAAATGTCACTAGCAAAGCCTCAATACCATCATAAATTTACTACAAATCCATGGGCGCCGGCGCCGCCGGTTCTTGAGCTGCACTTGGTTCTTCAGAAGCAGATTCTGCAGCTGCAGCTTCCACCTGGGCATCTTCCACAATGTCAAGGGACTGGATAACTTGCTCGATTGCTTGTTGATTGATGATATGAAATGGCTCCCCGACCCCAACAATGGCAACAGTGCAGATTGCACTGGTCAGCTTTTCACCTTGCAGCGTCTCCTTGATCGCAAAGAGCCCATCTTTGATCAATTCTTCACGGGAGTATTTATTAAAGTTGTCAAATCTGCGTTCCAAGTAGGTCTTTGCAGCTTGGGAGCGTGAACCAATGGCGAAAGCTTGGTACTCGAAATAGTTTCCACTTGGGCAATTGTAATAGAGATGGGCTCCAGTTTCATCCAAGCCAGCAACGAGGAGTCCTACTCCGTAAGGCCTTTTCCATGAACGTTGCGTGCAAACCTGCAAACTTTGAATTTTTAACATTTATTACGATAACCCTTAGCACAATCCTGATTCTTGAGTTCCACCCAAAATCTGAGGCAGCAATTTGACCCTTAACCATACTATATAAACACAATACAAAAGGGAAAACATGAAGCCACAATCTTAAGGCTTCGTTTGGTTCTTCCTCTTCTTTTATAAAAGGCAATTTTAGAAACAATTGTAAAGAGAATGGAGTTTTATAACAGAGAAGCAAATATCAAAAAGCTTTTCAAAACAGTAAAAAAATGAAGTTTCCTATAAAAAAACTTTTCTATAGAAACGTCCCATCTAAACAGTGACAAAAAAAAAAACTCCTTCCTAAACTGAAAAGAAAAAAAAAACGCTGAAACAAATGAGGCCGAAGATACAATAACAATCTGAATAAAATGATGCAACCAATTGCAATGATGATCTTTACCAAATGAAACTAGAATAACCATATAAGGAAACATGCTTATCCTTAATTAAAACTAAAAGTCAGCATAAACAATCAAAAGATGGAAAATTTCAAAATTAATCTTAAGAAAGAACATATAAGCTGATCAAATAAAGTTGCAACTACCATTAGCTAAATCGTTAAAAATAGAAAACTCCAAGAAAACTAGCATGCAAATGCTCCAACAATGCTCCAGCTTTCATCTATCATCAATATTCAAGGTAGGGAAAGTATACGGGGTGCACAGAGAGATTTAGCAGCCATTATTTAGCACACAACAGTGTTAATTCTATAACCGGTTTAGTTTGGAAATAAACAATAGTAAGAACAATTGTGTGTTTCAAATGCATTAAACTTGAAACAATCATTTGGATCTATATATATTTCTGCAACTACACATAATACATGAAAAAAAAAACCTTTAGAATTTACTAAATTATCGATTAATACCTGCAAAATAAAAAATGTATTTTAGCAAAATACATTGATGGAAAAGAAATTGAACAATTTAAGGGTTTTTTATTTAAGTATGAAATTGACCACAAAATTGCTTAACTTAATGTAGGATGTTAAAGATTCATTGAGCTATTTGGATGAAGTTCACAGTCTTAAAGTACATAGGAAGTTCTATGTTTCAAAACAAGAATAGGAAAGCTTTGAAGTAAGTTTTTTTTAGTAGATCATGTTTTGGCAAAACCCTAAGCAAGAGCTAAAAGTTCATGAAAGACAACAAAATAGCATGATCATGATGAAGATAGACAATAACTTAGTAAAACACATGTAGAATACCATAATCATATGTTGTGATAGGGTAGGGGAATCATAATATGAAAACTTAAAATTTGATAATACTGTTAAACGTGTATGGACTAATTGAGGAAACTACCAGCAAGGATCCGTTAGGATCATCAACACAGTAAAGAAACTCAAGGAAGAAGACGGCTTGATTTTAGGTAGAATCACTTATGTATTTTACTGTAGTGAGTAGAGGTATATAAATACACCAGTAATGCAAAGAAGTTAAAAGTCTATACTACCCTAGATAGTTACATAAAGTCAAAAAGAGAAAGCTGCTTGATTAGAGTTGAGGCGTCGCGGTTGTTAGTTGGTGCTCAGAGTAGTGGTGGATGAAGACTGCTTGTCACCGTCCATCAAGCTGATGGATGGAACAACCATCAACTTGGTACGAAAAGATTGGAACTTGGAAACATGGAGAGACTTTGTGAACATGTCTGTGATTTGATCCTTAGTTGCTATGTGTTGAACGGCGATTTGCTTGGTTTGAATAATGTCCCGGACATAATGATGATCGATTTTAATATGTTTAGTCCTGGCATGAAAGATTGGATTGCAGGCAATGGACATTACCGAGATATTATCACAGAAGATGGATGTTTGCTGTAAGGATATGTTAAAATCATGGCAAAGTCAGCAAATCCATATGAGGTCAGCGGCAATTGTAGCAAGGGAATGGTATTCTGGTTCGATAGATGACCGAGCAATTGTAGTTTGTTTCTTAACAGACCAGGCTATGAGTGGTTTGCCGAGAAAAATACAATATCCAGTCGTCGATTTACAATCAACGGTATCACCGGTCCAATCCGAGTCAGAGAAGGTAGTTAGCTCAAATTCAATTTTTGGAATAAAAAGACTATAGTCAATTGTTCAACATAGGTATCTTAGTACCCGTTTGAGCAGCTGGTAGTGTAATAGAAGTGGTTTATGCATTTGTTGACAAAGTTTGTTAAATGCAAAAGCAATATCTGGCCTGACCGAGGACAAGTATTGGAGGGAACCTACAATTTGGCGGAATAATGATGGTTGAGCAAATGGTTGTTGGAGGGATGGGTCGGTGGGGAATTTATTTGGGAGGGGTGTTTGGATTGGTTTACAGTTTGTCATGGATGCGATATGGAGGAGCTCTTGGATATAGGAGTTTTGTGTGAGATGAAATCCTGTGGAGGTACGAGTGAAATCGATGCCGAGAAAACGAGAAAGATGACCAAGATTTCTTATTTGAAATTTGTTGTGTAGATTTGTGATGAGAGAGGAAATGAACGATGAGTTGTTGTCGGTGATAAGGATGTCATTGACATAGATAAGTATGTATACGATGATGTTGTTTTTAGATAGGAGAAGGAATGACGGGTCGGCGCTGCTAACTTGAAAGTTTTGACTGCTGAGATAGCTAGTTAGAGTAGCAAACCAAAGACGTGGAGATTGTTTAAGGCCATAGATTGCCTTGCGAAGGAGACAGACATGATTTGGGAATTGAGGGTCGGCAAAGCCGGGTGGTTGAGCCATGTAAATGGTTTTGTCAATGTTACCATGAAGGAAAGCATTAACAACATCAAGTTGAAACACTTGCCAATTGTAGTGAAGAGCTACAATAAGAAAGACGCGAATGGTAGGAAATTTGACAACAGGACTGAACGTTTCGAGATAGTCTATACAGTATTCTTGTTTATATCCCTGGGCCACTAGGCGAGCTTTGTGATGGGCTATGGAGCTATCGGCAAGCCGTTTGATTTTGAAAATCTATTTGCACCCAATTATTTGATGATTAGAAGGTGGAGAAACTAGGGACCAAGTTCCTTGAGCTTGTAGTGCGTTGAACTCATAAGACATTGCATTTCGTCAATGGGAGGATTTACAGGCTATGGTGTAGGAGGTAGGGGTTGATTCGGTGATGGGAGTAAGGTTCAAAATTTGGCGTGGCTTTAGCGAGCCAGTTTGAAACCTTGTGATCATTGGATGGTGTGGTATTTTGGACTGGGAAGTGGTGGGGCTGGATGGAGAATTTGGATTTAGTGGTGGGTATGGAGTTTGAAGACGTTGTTGGTGTGGAAAGAAAACGGACAGCAAGTGAAGACTGAACAGGGGAGGAGGAGATTGTAGGTTGGTGGAAATTTCGAGTTTCTGTGGTAGAAATTGGGTTGGTAGGAGGAAAAGGAATTATAGTTTCAGTAGGTGTAGAATGTTGTGTTGTATTCGGAGTAGATATAGTTGAAGGAAAGTTGTGTTCGTCAAATGTAACATGACGAGAGACATAAATTTTACCTGTAATGGGATCATAACATTTATAGCCTTTTTGTTGAGTGGTGTAGCCGAAGAAGAGATAGGGAATGGAATGCGGCAAAAGCTTATGTAGAGTATAGGGGCAAAGCCAAGGGTAGCAGTGACAACCGAATATTCTCATGTGGTAATATGTTGGTTGAATGTTATAAAGAACTTCATATGGTGATTGGTGGGAATTATGAGAGGAAGGAAGTCTATTTATAAGGTAAAGTGCAGTATGGAGTGCCTCAGTCCAGAAGTGAGAAGACAGTTGAGCATCTATTAGAAGAATTCAGACAGTGTCGAGGAGGTGGCGGTGTTTGCGTTCAGCGATGCCGTTTTGTTGAGGGGTATGAGGACATGTTAATTGATGTGTAATACCTATATTTGAGAAGAAAGATTTTAAGGTAGTATTAACAAATTCACCTCCGCCATCGAATCTAATATTACGAACTGAGGAATTTAACTGTTTTCAATAAATTTAATGAATTGAATTAATAAGAGCGGAACACTAGACTTGAATTTAAGAAGAAAGAGCCAAGAGTATCTTGTGAAATCGTCGACGATTAATAAGTAATAACGATAGCCATCATAAGAGAGAATCGGGGAAGGTCCCCAAACATCCATATGAAGTAGTTGTAAGAGAGAACTAGATACATGGTTTGAGGGGGAGAAGGGGAGTCTGTGACTTTTTGCTAATTCACAGGAATTACAAGAACCACTAGGAAGAGAATTACATGTAGTAGAAAGCTGCTTAATCAAGGTTTGAAGAACTTTGGAGTGGGGATGACCCAAACGGCGATGCCAGGTAGTAGTGGGAGAACTGTGGATGGGAGAGTTGATAGTAGTTGTGGCCCGACTGGAGTGGTTTGAGCTGGGGTAACGGAGATGGGGTAGAGGCCATTTTGGCAAGGACCGCTGAGAAGCGTTTGATTGGTCGTCTGATCCTTAACATGAAAGACAGAGTTATCAAATATAATATAGCAATGGTTGTCATTTATAAGTTTAGAAATAGAAAGAAGACGATGAGTTAAGTTGGGAACATGAAAGAGGGAATTAAGAGTGATCTTACGAGTGGGAGTGGGTAGTAGCCCGTTACCAAAGTGTTGTATGGGTAGAGGTGTACCATTGCCAACCAGCACGTGATCCTTACCAGTATAAGGTTGTTGAAAGGGTAACATGTCCGGTGTAAGATGAGCTGTAGCGCCGCTGTCGAGGTACCAGGGAGCAGAATCGGTATTGGAGTTGTTGGCTAGTAATGCGACTTCAGTAGAGGGATTGGGAGAGTTGTATTGAAAGTTTCCTCTATGCCAACAGGTGATGGCCGAGTGACCGGTCTTACCGCAAATTTGACATTGGCCATCAAAACAATTTGGTATGGGATTGCGATTTGAACTAGATCCACGGTCACGGCCTCTGTAGTTGTTGAATCTGCCACGGCCGCGTCCTCGGTTTGTAAACAAAGTGAGTGTGGGATCGGGCGGAGATGGTGCTGTAGCGAACCATAGCTCTTTAACCACATCAGTTGTTTGATGGACTTCTTCACTTCTAAGCAAGGAATACAGATTGTTCAAACTGATCGGTTGAAGGGAGGATCTAATGAAGGTCTTAAAAGATTGATAAGTAGGAGGTAGACCATTTAAAATATAATGCAAAACGTCTTCATTGTCGACAGATCCTCCAGCGACATTTATGTTGTCGACGAGAACTTTCACAGAGGCAAGGTATCCAGTCATTGTCTTGTTTTGCATAGATAATGAGTGTAACTCATTTTTCAACTGAATCACTCGAGATCGATTTGTGGAGTAAAATAGTTGTTCGAGCGTCTTCCAAATGGATGCGGTGGTATCGAGATTCAGCACATAAGGGAGAATAGACGTCGAGATGGTAGAAACAGGGCAACGAACAAGTTTTGATCTACCAGCGTCCAAGAAGAAAACTAAGGATTTAAAGTAAGCTGACCGGCGGCGATGAGCAACTGTTTGGGAGGGCATGGTTGTGAACCATCAAGATAACCAAAGAAACTATTGGCGGTGAACAGCTTTTGAATGGCCGAATGCCAAGTTGGGTAGTTGTCCAGAAGGAGTTGGACATTGATAACATTCCTGATGTTAGAGAGCATCGGTGCTTATCTGATTTTCATGAGTGACTGCCGGTGTAGTAGACGCAGTGGAAGCGGGTGTCGAATCACCCATTTCGGACAAGAATGAGAGCCGCTGGGCGAGCGGCTCTGATACCATGAGGAAACTACCAGCAAGGATCCGTTAGGATCATCAACGCAGTAAAGAAACTCAAGGAAGAAGACGGCTTGATTTTAGGTAGAATCACTTGTGTATTTTACTGTAGTGAGTAGAGGTATATAAATACACCAGTAATGTAAAGAAGTAAATATTCTATACTACCCTAGACAGTTTACATAAAGTCAAAAAGAGAAAGATGCTTGATCAGAGTAGAGGCGCCGCAGTTGTTAGTTGGTGCTCAGAGTAGTGGTGGATGAAGACTGCTTGTCACCAATAAGAATTCATGGAATTTTCACTCCACTTTTATGGTTCCCAAAATAAAACAACTGAAAATCAATCAAGCGTGTTATTTCGGCCACCACATCATATTTAAAAAACAAAACAAACTGAAATATATTGAGCGCCAGACTGTAGAGCAATGGAAAGAACAAAATGGCTTAATCTGCGGAACTTACTAAATTATAGAATCAAAGTTGACCAAAAAGATCTTACGAGCTCGTGGCAGGTCAAATCTAATATATCCCTAATAGCCAATAATTTACAGGGCACTGGATAAAATCCTCAATTGCATGAAAACTTGAAAACAAATGGCACCGCCCTAATACGGCTTTAAAGTTTCTAAATTAATTACCCTTACTCAAGACTGAAATGCAAGCGACGATCAGCACAACTAGGAAACAGGATTCACTTTACAAACATATTCTCTTGACAAAGGATCCACATACCTAGCCTAATTTGCCTGTGGATCACCAAAGCCTAAGCACCAAATCAACGATCAAGCAGTAACAATCCCACTTTAGAATCAAATTTTCGGGACAGATCAATTCAGTTTCACTTAAACAACAAAAACATTGAAGAAATAAAAACATTAACAGTGACAATTAGAAAACCTGAGCTTTGTCGGCGAGCTGGACGACGAGGCGGGAGATGGGGAGTGGGGATTCGTAGACGAAGGAGTGGTTGATACACTCGTTGCGAAGGTAGCGGGAGAGGACGCGACCATCGGCCGTAAGGCCGGCGATAGCGACGCCGATGTGGTCATCCACTTTAAATATTTTCTTCTGGTGAGAGGAAAGCTCCGAGGTGGCCTTGTTCACAGTAGCCAGAACGATGTGCGTCGCAGAACGTAGCCCGATCGCAGCCGATCCCTGCTTCACTGCCTCCATAGCGTATTCCACTTGGAAAAGCCGCCCCGCAGGGCTCCAAGTCGTCACATCGGTATCGTATTGGTTCCGAAACATTCTTTCCTCTGATTCCTCTTACTTCTAACACGAAAGGTTATCAAACTCGGCAGCGGAGGATTCGCTTGAGAGGTGGATCTGCGATCTTTCAACACCGCCGAACGCTGCAGTGTCGGCCAAGAAAATGGAATTGCACGGAGAAGTCTCCGCTCCCGAAAATCGTAGGGTTATGAGGAGTGATTCTGATTTTTTCTAAAGCCGTCTTTGACGTGTCGCACTTTGGTTCCTTGGACAAGCTGAAAGCTGTTCAATGTTACTGAAGGATATCCAAATACTAAACTAAAAATAATTTTATAAAGACAAAAATTTTAAAATTATGATGAAAAGTAATATTTCAAACACAATATTTTGTTACTACAAAATAAATCAAAAAAGAATTATTGTCAGGCGACGGTGTCGAACGCAATCGGCAGGCGACGAAAGTCAGAATAACCATAGTCAGGCAACAGAGGTTGGAAGTACAGTAGTCGGGTGACGGAGGTCGGAAGAATAGTAGCGGGTGATTGAGGTTAAAAATCATAATCAATAGGTGACATAGGTCAAAAGAACTGTAGTCGGCTGACAATGGAGGTCAAGCAGAAACCTATCGATGGTAGTAGGGCAGGTTCGATGGTCATGTTCGGGCTGAGGTCCAGCAACATGGGTTTGCTGGGGAGAAGCTTGGGTAAAGTTCTGTGATTCTTCAAGCTTCAAAGTTCAATTGAATATCTAGCTCAAGATCCAAGCCTCCTAAAGTCTCCTTCATGCAGAGAGTCGATGTCTATTTATAGATCTTGAGAGTGACATGCTATATAAATATAGAGTTGATCCATAGCAAATTCAAAGTGATCCATTTGATGGCCCATATTGATTCCCTCGATTATATAGTTTTCTTTTAGCATTTAAATGCCTTAATGATATCATAATTAAGTGGTCTTCAGCTCATTAGATTTGTCTTAATGAGCCACTCGATTTGACTATAAACATGCTATATTTGGATATCATTTGATCATCCAATTATTATTCTGAAGCTTCCAAATATACTTCAAGCCATTGATTTAGACTTATTTGGGCTCTATTTAAACCAATTTTGGTATCGTTCGATTTGTCTCATCAATTTTACTATAAGTTTCGTAAAATCATGGTTAAGATAATATCTCATTTAACTTTGCAAGTTTCTAAGTAAGATGTGTGTTAAGATTCATGCTTGATCAAGGTGATTTTTCATGTTGTATCAAGGCTTATATCATTAAGCATGAATTCTATTTTCACAGTGTTATTACAATTTCAAGCATTCAAAATTTTTACTAGCACAATTTTTTATTTCAATGAAAAGAAATACATGGAATGATGAATTAATTAATTAATTTACTTACTCATATACATATATATATATATATATA